ATATGTAATGTACTTTAAAAAATTCTTTCCCCATTATCTCTTCCCCCCTTCTTGATAGTGCCCTTCCTGCTCTTACGTCCTTGTTGTGGCCCACTGCATTTACTTAGGGTTACTGGCATGAGCATGAGTGGACATTATTTACTTGAATAAAGACAGCTTAGCAGGGACCACATCACTGAGGACTATGTCTCCCAGGAGGGAGCATTTTCACACTGGAAGAAAGAGATATTAGGATGTGCCGAAATCCTGTAATTAAGATTCCCTGCTGTTCAGGTTTCCCTTACCACCTACTCATGAGTGCTCTAAGGAGGTCTTAGGAATGTGGCTTTTGTATGCTTGTTTATTTTCACAGAGGATCTTGTCTTGTTGCCCAGGCTGGCTGCCAACTCCCAACCTTCCTTCCTTGGTCTCCCAGAGTAGCTGGAATAACAGGCCTATGCCGCTGTGCCCATCAAGATGTGTTTTACCTTATGAATGTGGTTTCCCTTGTGAATTACACAGAAAGCAGGCATCTTAATTAAGCCTCTCCTTTTGTTGACTTTGCAGAATTTTGCTGCCATAAGTTTCCAGTTTAGTGACGCAATAAAGAATTTTATTTCAAGATTTAAGTCTAAGATCATCTTTTTCTTGGTTGGAAGCTAAGTGGATAGAATGGTAAGGACTGAAGAAGCAAAGAGAGTTCCTGAAGTAAATTGTTTCAATACTGAACTGAAGTACAGCTATGGAAGCCCAAGGAATCCTTAAGGTAACTAAACAGACCTGTCCATTCTGTAGCATCTCCCCAGTCTCTGCCTCTGTGCCTAGAGGTGACTACACTCCTAATTCTGATGATTCTTTACAGCTCTATCCTGTGTTGAGGGTTTTTGTTGTTGTTGTTGTTGCTGTTGTCTATGTTGGTGGTGGTGGTGGTTTTTTTGTTTTTTTGTCAAACACAAGAACTAGTCACCCAGGAGGTGTGAACCTCAGTTGGGGAATTTCCTCCATTAGATTAGCCTGTAGGAATGTCTGTTGGGCATTTTCTTCGCTGTTGGTTGATGGGATGGTGCAGTCCACTGCTGGTGGTGCTGTGCCTGGATAGGTGGGCCTGGGCTGTGTAGAAAAGGTAGCTGAGCAACCCAGTAAGCAGTGTTCATCTGTGGTTTCTGCTTCAGTTCTGCCTCTAGCTCCTGCCCCAGCTTCACTTGGTGATGGACTGTAACTTGCAAGCTAAAAAAAAACCCTTCCCCTCCCAAATTGTTTTTGATCCTGCTGCTTTTTATGGCAACAGAAAGCAAACTAGGACATCTGTATTTATCATAAAGCAGAATCTTGTAACTCTCTAGTTATAAAGAAGCTAATACTACAATTAATATGCATTAATGTTCTGTTGCATGGTTTCTACATGGTACTCTGCCTGACGGTTGCATACACACTGCTGCCTGGCCTGTGATTCAGCAAATTAGCTTGCTTATTTTCTTTTTATTTTTTGGTTGGTATAATTTTAATTGAATTTTTGCAAATTTCATACACTACATCTTGATGATATATAGACCCCCTCCCCTATCCACATGGCACCATAGCTGCCCTACTGGATTTCATGCATTCTGTCATATATGTTAAGGCTTAAGGAGTCAGATTTGTGTACCTATATGTTCCTCTGTGTGACTCCATCCACTGGAGCCTGGTCAACCTATTTAGCATCATTCCCTTAAAAGAAAGCAGTCCTCCCTCTCCCAGTAGTCATCCATTTTCAATAGTTCCTCAGCTAAGGTTGGGGCTTCTTGCCCAGTTCCTTACTTCTATGCTGGGTTTTTGTCTGGTTTGAGCTGGTTTTGTCTTGTGTATGCTGTCACCACTGTTGTAAGTTCATATGAGCAAGTTCCAGCCACTTGGAAAACTCTGTTTCCTTGTGGTCATATACTGCTCCTGGCACTCCACACTTCCATCATGGTACCTGAGCCTTGGGTGGCAGAGGTTGGATGAAAGTGTCTTACCCAAGGAAAGAAAAAGAAAGAAGACAGATGAACCAATAACCCTTTACTAGCTGTGCATGTGAACAAAGATCCCAGCTTTTGGGGATGGAGAGGTGGCTCAGCAGTTAAGAACACTGGCTGCTCTTGCAGAGGACCCAGGTTTGGTTCCCAGGACTCACATGGTGGCCAACAACCGTCTATAACTCCAGTTCCAGGGGAATCCAATGTTCTCTTCTGACCTCTGTGCCCACTGCATGACACAGGTGAATTTACATACATGTATGCAATATACTCATACATATAAAAATAATAAAATAAAAATAATTGGGGGCCCCCTGCCCCCAATTCTCCCTCCACAACTTAGTACCTTTTCTTTCCTTCTTTTTAAAAAATTTGTTTTTATTAAATTTTGTTGTATTTCATACA